CAATTATCTAGTCACAACTCCCAAAATAAGTTATTAAATTATTTCTTATAATTTAAATATGAAACTCCAATTAATTAATAAYTTTTACAATTGATGTCCAAATTTTGACCAACTTAATCGAAACATCCCGATTTATTTYGATTAATCCAAGTAAATAAACGAGCCTCAAATCTCTTTTCAACAAAATCTTATATACAATATTAATCCCAAATCGTATCCAAATTTATAGCCCCTACGGTTCAATATTAAACTCGTATTTTGAGTTTTTGTACCCGAATCTCGTCGAGCCGCCGCCACAACAGCTTCTAGCCTAAACCGCTCGACGTACAAGTCATCATAGCCCACGAGACTTGTACCAACAGAAAGGTAATTGAAAAATGAAGCCAACCATATATTATACATCAATTTTGGTTGAGTATTTTACCTCCAATCGTCGTTTTTGTGCGGAATGACCCTATGCCGCTTCAAACTCGATATCTCTCTCGTTTCTTGATGAAATCTCGAAATTCCAAAGAAKTTTACTCCCTTACATCCTTAGGAATGTCTCCACAAAATTTCAGCCGAAAACTCCAATTTATAAGGCGTCAAACAATCTCTAGAATAGGAAAAACGTGATTTGGGGAATGATTTCCCAAATTTCAATCATTTCCAAAATAGTTTTCTACTTTTGGCAGAATTAGTCCCTTCTGTTTTTYTTTCTTCATTTTCATCCCAAATCAATTAAATACAAAATGTTTCATTTCCCTTTTTATTGATTTTATTTATTGCAATAAAATCATATTTTTCGAGTATCGACACTTTAATCCCGTATGTCATTACTATTTAAATTTTAACCCTTAACATTTATTTATTTTACGAATCATAATTTTTTTAGGGTGTTACATACACAACTAGTTTTACAAGAATGCGAGAATACCTTTTTGCTATAATCAATCACACGTGATACTATATTTTATTACATGGTACATATGCATGCGATACTAATCAAAGATGTGGATGACCTTAGGCGCGTCCTAGGTTGCGGGCCAATTTGCTCCTACATCACTAGGGCTCCTCACATGTATTATCACGCATGGTAAGGACGTTCTTGATGCGATATTATAATCCATCACACGTGATACTAAATCAGAGATGCAAATGACCTTTGGTGTGACCTAGGTCAAAGGACACGTGACTGCACACAACCAAGTCCCTTCAATTCACGTACATTATTACATGTAATAAAGTTGTTCTAATCTTTTCATATATAAAATGAAGGTGTTCATCCACTTATATATATGTGTTTTTTCTATTTATTTTAATTTTAATTATGGCCAAAATAAAAAAAAATTTATTAACCTGGATATCCAACCCGCTAATATACACTAAGTTATTGAATATTTAAATTAGTGTACTTAATACTTTATAAATACTTTATGCATGAAATTAAGAAGTTTCTTCTAACAGTTTTACCTAACTGTTTTATAATATATCATATATATATATATATATATATATATATATATGTAAAGAGAGAGAGGGAGAGAGAATATGTTTACTTTGCAAACCACATTATTTGTATAAATCACATTCAACCAATCATTATTTTTCATTTTATTCATTTTTTTGTAATTATGAGAGGTTGATTAATCATTTTTTATTGTGGAGGGTGTTAATCTTAAATATTATCATTTTTATTATATTAATTTTAGAAAAATATACATGAAACAGTTTCATTAAAATTTCATAAATATTATATGAAACAATTTTATAACCATATATGAAACAACTTCATACAAAAAAGTATTATATGAAAAAATTCATGAAAAAATTTCATAAGATTAAACAATGAAATCGACGGATGATGGTGGTTTGCACGGTTTATACAAATATGGATGGTTTGCATTTGATAACACATATATCTCTCTCTCTCTCTCTCTCTCTCTCTCTATATATATATATATATATTGTTTTTCAAATCATATCATTTGATAGAAATAATTAATAATAATCATAATGCAATTTATCTGTCAAATTATTTTTGTTATTATACTTTTATTTAGTAATCCATTCTAGTTATTTTTTAAAACCATGAAATTCCTCAATGTTTTTATATCCGGTGACCTTTGAAGAGAATCTCAAATATCCAAGTCTTATTGTCAGTTGAGCTAACCGTATAAGATTTGTAATTTATTCTAGTTAGATGATATAATTATGAGTATAAATGCATATGGCGTGTGACTTAGTTAGTAAAATGACAAGGTGACTTTGCCTAAATACAAGGCAAACCATGGGTTCAATCCTAGTATCCTATGCTCTGCTAGTCTCGGCTGTTGAATGAGCCAAAAAATATTCTCTTATATTGGTGTCCTTGGATGCATATTTCTCTATTCCGTATGAGACCAGTTGAGTTGCCAGTAATCTACTTTTTGTTCAAATATAAGTATATAATTAGTAAAAAAAATATTAAGTATATACTTCGACTTTTCATAAAAGTGTCTATTTTATTAACCAAAAAACTTGTGTAAAGTGTTTATTGCGTTTTATAGTATTTTCTATTCTATGTCTCATCAAATCGGTAAATTATATGACTTCGACTTTTATATCAAATTAATTACAAATCAAATTTCTACAATACTCCATTTCAGAAACGGTAAATTACAAGAAAATGTAATATATTTTGTCTTGATTCCTATTTTGGATAACGTATTTTTATAACTTTCGTTTTGGTATCTAGGATGTAAGGTTTTAGAGGAAAATCGTAAAAACTGAAAATTGAGGAACACCCTCATAACGGTCCATCTAGACGGTATGTGCGTGTGCATACAAGTAATTTGTAAACAATTTGTATGGTATGCACATGTGCATAACATGCACAGATGCATAAAAACCAAAAAACAACTTTAATTACTTTTATGTATATGTGCATCAGAAGAACTTAAATACTTGAGTAACTGGGTTAAGCATTGACTGGTTACCAATGCTGATATGGTGAATGATGTGGCATCCAAATTAATATTATTTGCTAACGTGGCTAGTAAAATGCATTTTTTTTAAAGTTTAAAATTAGTTTCAAATTTATTTATTTTATTAGAATTTATATATTATAATTATTTGTAAATTATATATTTCACATAAATAATTATAATATACAAATTCTAAAAAAATTATAAATAATTTAGATTTTAAAGAATCCATGTCATTATCTAAATAATATCAAGTTGGATGTTGCATCAACAGGTTTAAGTATGTACTTAAATATTTGAAACTTTACATCTTAATTAGATATCATAATAAATGTTTTAAAAGTACGTTATCTGAAATAAAAATCAAGTCAAGGTATATTACCTTTTCATGCAATTTGTTTTAAAAAAAAATACATTATAATAGATGTAATTCTTTAGACAATTCAAAATACAAAATATTGTATTTCGTTAAGAAAAGATGAGTGTATTATTATCATGGAGTTGACATGCATCCAAATTAATAAATTAAAATCATGATTGAAGAGGTTTTGGGTGGTCAATGAATTGAAAAATGACCTTTCTATGTAACGTAACGTCAAGCATAGAAAATCAAATATAGATTTATGAGATTTTAAATACAAAAGATATAATCATATTTCATAAAAATTTGAATTTAAATTTAAAATCAATAAATTAGAAACAAATTGATAATTGTGGCTTCAAAAATTCATATCTTACTCGATGATATAACAATTCATTCTTGTATTCACGATAAAACATGCAATATAATGTAAAACACCCATTTTATGAGAATATGTTCATGTGAGGAAAAATAGCTCTTGACGTCATATTCTAATACATTTGTTCTTTCTTTTCTTTACTAATTAATCATTGTTTTGATGTCGCATGTGACACTTATTTAAATGTGTTTTGTGATTGTTACAGTTGAAGAGTCGATATCACGTATATCTCATAATCACGGGACGTTGCTTGTGTTTTAATCAAGTAAGTAGAAAGACGTAAGCCTTTAATTAGTATTTCAGTAGGTTACGATCTTTGAGATTGAATAGAAAATGCATGCATGTATATGTACAAAAGCAATTTTGGGTGCATCCTGATCAAACTATATGATAATGTTTTTAAAACGAATGTAAGAGTTTTTATATCTGAAAAACACATAAGGACGATACTAATAGAAACTCTAGATTATCTATTGAAACCATCATATGCTCCAACGTCGGCAACCCATGAGTTTAGATCAAACCCAACCTTCATGATCCTATTTGTTCATCATTTAAGAAAATTAGAAAAAGAAAAAACACAAGTACCCTGTATTTACAAAATAAATAGTATTTCATAAAACACATAAAAATTCATATACGAAAACGTATCACCAACACTGCGTATTGATGTCAAAAATGACTTCATATATTAGAAGTACACAATTGAACATTTTTAATCAAAAATCTTGGATGTAAACCTTCGTTTTCTGAGTCTCAACACAAGTTTTTTTTTTTTTTTTTTTTGCTTTTACCGGTCGATATCACAAATTAAAGATATAATAACTTCATTGCTTTTATCCAAAGGACTAACCAATATAATTTAAACTACATGTATGATGGCATTATCTACTTTTTTTGACATAGAAAATACGATTTGATTTTACGTATACAAACTAATTCTTCGAGCAATCACGAATAACCTGGAGTCATCACGCATGAACCTTCATGGCTATAAGTACTTTGACAACGTCTGAATTCAAACAGAAAAAAGATAGATTTCCACTGAATCCCAAATTAGTTTTAACGATTGTGCTACAACCCCAAGTGCTTAAAAATCGATATTTGTTATTCATAAATCTTGAATATTTGATTGATAAAAGTAACACCCCGTTATATATTTTGCAACTTCAAAAAATCAATTGTTACATACGAAGGAGTAAATAAAAAATTGCAATTCCCATATTGCTTGAGGAAAAAAAGAAAGAATTATATCGTATCTATATATGTATATAAAAAAATGAAGAGAAGACCCTTTGGGCCAACGAACGATCGATCATCTGGAAGAAATCGGTTCTTCAGCAATCGTCTCCAACAACGGCTTCTTTGATCTACACATTGAGATCATATGCTTAAACTCCGGCGAAGACAACTCTTCTATGTTCTCCAAGCTCAACCTGGGCGGCGTAGGAGCATTTTCCGGCTGGATCCTGACGTTTCCGATTTTCTTAGCACCAGATTTAACAGCAAGGAAAAGAGCCCCCAAATCAGCGGTGGCGACGACGGTGTTGAGCCTGTTCATAGGAAACATGACGTAGACGGAGGCGATCTCCAGATCTTCGTCGGCATTGAGGGCGGAGAAGCGAGCTCCGATGCGGAGCGACTTGGAGTTCACGAGGAATGTGTTGGGCGATTCCAACATCAGCTCGGCGGCTTTGATTGGTTGCTGGACTCTGCGGATTTCGCCATTGAGGTAAATTACCTTAGTGCCCTTTGAGTGTTTGGTTAAGGTGCAGGAAACGTAGTTACCCATGACGACGACGTTTGAAGAGAACTGGTATAGAAGATGGGATAATGGAAGATGGAGTAATGGAGAATGTAATTGAGGGTATATATGGAGTTGCGAGTTTGACAAAAAAAAATTTAAAAAAACAAAAAAATATTATTAATTTTTAAATAATAAATAAATAGAAGGTGACAGTTGGAACGAAAGTGTTTGACAATGAGAATTCCGCGTCCCAGAAATTAAAGGTAAGAATGTCGATCTGGCTGCGGTGGTACAACTACTTCAACGGAAGGTACATTCCAACTGATGGAAATTGGAATACAATTATTTACTTATAATTATAATTAAAAATTAACTAAAATACTAATTTTTCTAATTAAATTTTTATTATAACTGGAGCTTATACAAAAGGCATTTGTGTTAACCCAAACTTTGGCTTAAAAACTAGGTTTTATGCAGATACATAAGGTAGACTCTGATTTAAAATGAAAACTACGTTTTAAAAATGATTATAAAATAAATTTTTGATATTTTTTTTATTTAATAATTTGTTTGTTCTTGTGTTTGGTCCTAACTAATTAGGTTGGTATTATGATGAAGTATGCTCCAAGCTTATTTGTTGAATCATTGTTTTTGTTAGTTTTGTTTGGTAGTTTTAAAATAAATTTATTTTTTGATTTGAGTTGATACAGAAATGTTATAGTTAGTTTATTTTGAACATATTTAAATTAAATTAAAATCATATATTAACATGTAATTGTGAAATTTGGTTTTTTTTATAATAACGATGATAAAATATAAAAATAATTTTTGAAAAGAAACTGCTTTAAATTGTAGAAGAAAACAACAACGTAAATAAATTAAACATGGTTTATAAATGAAGGCTTGTAGGTTACTTCTCAAACAAATTAAATGAAAGGCAGGGGTAGGTCGTTATCCACTTCGGTTATGGGGGTTGTGTGTGTTGCCAGGGTCAAACCCTCCTCCATCAACTTTGCGTCTCTTAAAAGCATCACCCAACGTTACCATCTCCAAACAGTTATACACATAGATATGATTGATTAAATACAAATCATTTTTTTTTTAAATTCTATAAATCAATCTTATTCATATATTTTCTTGATCAATGGTCATGATTAAAATGTGTAATATTAAAAAAGTAAAAAAATAAAAATAAAAGGTTTAATATTTAATCAAGAAAGGGTAAAATTGGCAAACCATTGTTCGTCTCATTTTTGTAAATTGATTTCATCAATAAAAACATTTTGGAAACTGGATCTCATTTTTTCGTTAGTGAAATTTGTTTCATTGTTCGTCTGTATAATGAAATTTAAGTCAGATATGTTTCAGTCAATGGAACATTTTGAAAAAATCTGAATAACATGTTTTCGTTAATGAAATTCGTTTCATCATTGAAATTGGTTTCATGGACTCCACAATTCCAAAAACTGGATGACATTGTTTCAACAGTGAAAATTGTTGAAATGTTTCTTAACCAAAATGGAATCGGTTTTATGGTTTCTAATCAAGATGAACTCAGTTTTACATATGAAAATAAATATTGTTCAGTCAATGAAACACTTCAAGAACTGAATAATAAAATTTCATTTATTTTTAATTTTGTTTCATTTTTCTTAACCAAAATGGAATCGGTTTCATGGTTTATAGCCAAGATGAAATTGGTTTTATTAATGAAGCCAAATATGGTTCAACTAATGAAACATTTCAAGATCTGAATACTATTATTTCATTAATGAAAGTAGTTTAATGGTTCATAACCAAAATGAAATTAGTTTCATTTTTGAAACATTTTGAAAACTGCATTACGTGGTTTCATTAATGACATTTGTTTTACGAATGAAAACAAAACAATATATGAAACTGTTTCACTGTTTCTTGAATGAATTCATAAGACTCTTTGTCACATTGAATGAAAGATGGACCATTTGACATGGTGTTGTGAACCATATATGAAACTATTTCATCTATAGTTATTGAAACAGGATTATACTGTTATTTATATGTTTTAGGAGTATAGTTTTACAATTCATATTTTAAGAGTATAATTTTATAAAAGAATATAAACTATTAATTATAATAATTATATATTAAAATAAATTGATTTATAGTTTCCATAAAAACAGTTATTATATTTAATTTTTTATATTTAAAAACAATTAAAATATTACCAAATTAACAATTACAATGATAAAATGACATATATATACATCCTATTTATTAAAAATAAAGAATAAAATATGAAAAACATCTTTATCTATTAGGATAAAGAAATGGACTACTTATATTTCCATCTTTCCCATACACTACTTCAGTATCGGTTTTCCAAGTATATTTGGTTTGCTTTATTTTTATATTTTACAATTTAATATATATTTTGATTATTTAACTTTAAATAATTTCGAACAAATTATATTAAAACAACAATTTGCATTGGCAAATGTATTTTAATTTCACTATCAAACAAAAAATGCAAAATCATATATTCACTATTATTCATTTATAATTAATATTAATAATCTTTTATTTTATAATAATTAATATTTATTTATAATAACTAATAATTAATATTAATGAGAGGTATAATTAGAAAAAATGATAAAAAAGCTTCTCGTAAGATACTTCAAGTAGCTTATCAATAAGCTAGTTTATAAACTAGTCTATATGCATCTATACAAATACTTAGAAAATAATTTAACTTATAAATTAGTTTATATATGTTAAACAATTCCTAAATAAAGATGTATTATTATTATTAATTTTTTTTTTAAATAACTCTAAATAAAGACAATTTATGAAGTGAATAATTGTTAATTAATTATTGTATTGAGAAAAACCCTCGTAAATTTGGATTCAAAACATATGAAAAGGGAAAATATTGTATTTTCCGTACAATTTGTAACAAAATATTCTCTTGTGGCCACGAAGATTTAAATACGGTGACTCCAGGATATCAGCAAAGCAGGTAATCGCCCTGGAATTAATCAGCTCGCATAGCGGGTTGGATATCCAGATTAATAAAAAAAAATATGTTACAGTTTTTTCAAGTGAAAGGAGAAAAAGCATCAAGCGAGGTTTTAAACATATTCTAATAAACAAATGGAATCAAAATAATTTTTCGTGGAACTCAGTTTAACTTGGAATGTAAATAAAAGATGAGTTTTCATTCATTCTCATTTAACTTGCAATGGAGAATTGGACTTGAAGAGTAATGAACCTATTATATATTATAAAGTAAATTAAAATTTCCGTTTGTGATTGAAAATTTTGGATTGGGCCCCTCAAAACAAATAATTATATGTATGGTCACCATAATTTCAATTTCGTTATGGATTGTATCCCTTATCCTAACTTCACTAACTAGTAGTCCGTTAAGTTAGGGGTAGTATTGTCTTTTTATATTTTATTTTTAAAATCTATACTTATTATATTTATTTATAAATTAATAAAACATAAATCGTCCCTGTTAAACCCCCCACCCTTGCATCGATCAAAGCACCGACAACATCTCCTCTCCAGCCAACTCACGATCTTCGGCTACCCCTACCCAACGATGGTGAAACCTTCTCGCCCCTCCCTCTGACTCGACATCTCCTTCAATCTCGTTGTGTCTCTCCGTTCTTGAACCGCCAAACTTTATTATCTCCAGCAACAATGGTTTGTTTTAACTTCAATTAAGTGCATATTCTTAACATGTGTTTGATATTTTGAGTACGAGTTGGCAATTAATGGCAAAAAAGGGACTAATTTGTTGGGTATGACATCTTGGAGGACTTAATTATCTGAGAATCATTAGAAGACACACAATGTATCAGGGGAAGCCAAGCTTTGGAATCTAGAAATAATCCATCAAAAGTCGGTGTGATAGATATTACTTATGGGACTACCAAGTATGGAACAAAACCACATGAAGAGATTAACTGCAATTTCAACAAATGCATATGTTTATTAGCGTTCCGACTCTTGGGCAACGGTGGTTTATAGAGGAAATCGAGAAGCCCACCGAGTTATTGGAAACCCCACTCTCGGAGTTCCGCCTGAGATGTTTTCCTGATTCGGCTATGTATATGGTCAGAGACGAGCAAGAGAGCTCAAGATTGAATCCTATCCCGCCATGCTCCAGCTTGCTAAAATAAACAGGTCATCGGTTGTCATTAATTTAACCCCGTCATCGTCCTCCGAGGACACGCTTGCAACGATGGTGGGTTTGAGTTGTATTACGAGGATGAGCTGGGTTTGGTTTGAGGGCATTACCGGTGAGTATGTCAGAGTTTTTGTTGGGTTCTGGTTTTGAATGATTATTGATTCAATTGACTCAAATTCAAGCGAATGGGCTAGGGAGAATGAATCATAATTTACCGGCGTCGAAGACCGCCATTGAAGCACTTCCAATGATTGAAATTCATATCTTGAATCTCATTGTGGTGTTTGCAAAGACCTACCCGAATCAATTGAAATTCTTTGCAAGCATCTATATGATTGAGATTGCATTCTTCCATGGATAACTTTATGTGATTCTTCCATTCCAAGTTTACCTCGATTTGTAAAGATGTGTGTGTATATGTATAATCATACAAATATCATATAATAATCATAAAATTTAAAATTTTAATTACAATAAAAAGTATTGAATCACTAAAACACCCTTGACTTAACAGTATTTAAGTTAACAAAGTTAGAATAAGAGACCCAATCCATAATAAAAATAAAACCATGATGACTATACATGTAATTATTTTGTTTGGGTGATCCAATCCATAATTTTCATATAACCACAAGGACCAAATTCGTAATTTACTGTATATTATATAAAACCAAATACTTTCTTTTTATTGATTAGTGTTTAATACTTATAACCAAACACCATTTTAATTTATACATAATAATATAATATGAAATTTGACATGTAATTTGAAAGAAAAATCATCAATTAACTTATTTTTAATTTTTAAAAAACAATTGATTAATTAATCATAAATGTGGCCAAATTAATTCTGTTGTAAATATGACTTTAAATTAATTAAATATTTTAATAATATGAAGAAAAAAAAAACATGAAGAAGTTGCCATATCATTACTCCACGTTGTGCTCCAAGGCCCCAAATGACTTTCGTTTGTATTCATATTCATTAATTCACCGTCACATGTGATGATAATTAGTCGCAGGAACGAAGGAGGATTCTTCTCTCCAAACCTTTTTATTAGCTTTCAAACTCATATCATTTTATGTAAATTTCAACCATGTTGTTTGTAGGTTTAATTCAATAGATTTAGTTGGATCCGATCTGATGAAATCATTTGATGTATGTTGAATTTTATCATCCGATCCAATACAATTAATATTAGACATTTGATTCACTCCAATCTAATGGATGATTGGATTTGATCAGTTTCATCTGTTGGATATTACTATTGGTTATCTCTATTGGACCGGACCGGATCCATCCAATATTTTTGATAAAATTTTCAACCAATTAATTAACTTTTTCAACTAAATATTTTGTTAATTTATTAATTAGATGGTAGTTAGATGATAATTGGATTGGATCGGTTCAATTTTATTGAATTTTGGACTGTCATTTAGGAACCAGATCATCCAATTTGATTGTTGAAATTTTAGATCCCATCCAATTTAATTACATTTGGATATCCAATTATCATAAATCAGTTTAAATTTGATCAAATGACTTCTTATACATCTCTAATTTTAATGATATAGAAAATGAACATGCCACAATAGTTTGAATTATTGTCCAAGGTATTAATATATGAGTAAATATACCACAACCAATTGATTCAAGAAGTGATCCGATGGATTGACCCGTGGATCAATGCTTTGGTTTACCCACAACATATCAAATATTAACGAGTCGTTTATCAATTACTTACCTTATAAATATTTATCGGTAAGTTCAATTCTATCACTTACTTACCGGTTAAGATTTTAGTCCACCAAAACAGCATTGCATGCAACAATTTACTAGAAAAACGCTAAACGTGGCAAGAGTGTTTGCCCTCACTTACCGAGTAAGACTCTTGGTGCTTGCCTCACTCTTATTAGGTAAGATTCTTTGTTCTAACCATATTCATCCGGTAAGGTAACGTGACTTGGTAAACATTTAACCAGATAAACATTTGGTAAATGACCCCCAAGATTTAATGAAATCACAGTCAATATTGAACTAAAATTATGTTTAAGTATGCAATCAATAAATCTCTTCGTTGATGGATACATGTATAAAGTAATGGAGGTTCGATTATTGGTTTATCTGATTTTGTCTTACCAAACTGAAACTTTAGATCACGCCTAGCAAAATCAACAAAAAGAAGCACATTAAAAAGGTAACATACGCGATGTCTTTTTACACGGTCCTAATCAAAAGGGATACAAACATGTAAAGGAGGCATGTCAAAATCACATTATAACATTTTATTTTGGCCTTTTTATAATCTTGTAACAAACAAAACATAGTTATCCACCCTTCATACCGTTGCTTATATGTCACTGGGTTGACGATATGTCTGCTTTTTCTGACATCAATTCTTTTTTTATTCTTATGGCCATTGCATGTAAAGAAAATTATCGTTCTCATCTATTGATTTTAGCGACCAACTTCTCAAACCATTATTATTAGCATTTTGCTTCTAACAAACCATCTTTCTTGCGGAAACTTATAAAAAACATTACACTTTTTTAACCACAAGGGTGGTGCCTGATTGATTTGAGCTTGACTCCAAAAGTCAAAAGTACCAGGAGGTCMCAGGTTCAAATCCAAGGAGGAATAAAAATCCTCTTGTGGCCACGGAGGTTCATATACGATAACTTCAGGCTATCTGCAAAGCAGGTGATCGTCCTGAAGTTAGTCGGCCGCATAGCAGGTTGGATATCCAGGTTAATAAAAAAAATCACACTTTGTGAAGATGATCCATTTCGAACTAAAATGGGAGGAGAACAATTGCTTTTTGCATTCACATTATCATAATTTATCCAGAAGCACCCATTTACTATACATAGTGTAAATGTTTTGCTAACATTTTTGTTTGATGAATCGTTGAACAAAATCAACTAAAAGGGGATCATTCTATAGAGTATATCGTTTATTTATTTATTTATTTAATCACACATTATAATATCACAAGGCTTCTGTATCAAATTACAACCCTGAGTAGTAAATATTCGATTTCAATGACCAATCTAAACGTAGTATTCATTGATGGAAATGTATAATAATATGATATAAATGCACAATTTAGGTCAAACATTTGAATGTTTTAAAAAGTTGGAGTATGAACGAGTTTGTGTGTGAAAGTGAAACCAAAATCGAAAAGAGAAAATCTATCATAATTCATATGTTAATATAACATTCTTATGTTACAGAAAATATAACATTTAACTTGGGATATTGTTTAATGCAGTACTTTGAGCAATTAAAAATGAAATCTTGAATAATGATAAAACAAATGCAACTTCTAGACAAATTAAGATTAGTAATTTCAAGCGATAGTTATTGTTTAATGAAAAGGAAAAACTTGATTGAGAACTCACCAAAAAAAAAAATGTTGCTCCTTTTATCGCAACTTAAAAATTTGTAAATGATAACATTGTCTTAAAAGAGATGGATGAAAGCACGAAACATGGTCTTGATTAACGTCGATGACGGTGTGTAGGTGCCCAATTTTGCGTGTATTTCTAGTATGCATACATCCTTATTTTTTAAACCACGTTCCTAAACTTCTTCCTCCTTTTTTGAGTAACAAAATGAATCAAAGAGCAAACTAAGAGACTGTTTGACAGTTGTTGAATGATTTGGTGCAAAATTATTAAATAGTCAGAATGATTAAGAGGCTCTCATGATATAGTGCAAAATGAAATATAATTGTTTGGTAACTGTTTACAATGGAATTAGGGCGCTGAATGGTTAAAGGATGTACATGATACAAAATCATTCAGAGAGTTTTAGAACCATTAAGAGACAATTTTTTTTTGTTGTTGCCAAACACGATTCACCTCTTAATGATTCAGATATTGTCTCTTAATGAAACTATTAAGAGACAAACAAACAACCTCTTTTTTTATACCATACATGGTTTACCTCCTAAAGATTCAGAAGTAGCCTCTTAATGAAACTATTAAGAGACAAACAAACAACCTCTAAAAGTTAAGGATCTTAGAGAGCTCGAAGATCAAAGAATGGACTCAATTTCCCATTCATCTAAATAATATTCTATTATAGAAGAGATACATTGTAGACCGACAATTAGAACTACATGTGCATTTAGTGTCCTGGCTTGGAAGCAAGCTACCTTGATTATCTTTTCAAGGTCCAAATAACCTATTGACCAAAGGCTGTAAACTCTCCCACTTTACATCTTCAAACAACTGTAAAATGATATGACAAGTTGTATGCATTTGATTATGTTTTGAACAACTTTTAACCCGTTCAATATGTATAAGTTTTTAATTTTATCAATTTGAATCTTTCGATTTTTTTTCGTTCCTATTCTCAGTGGCGAACACAAGAATTTTTCTGAGCGAATGCACTTTAAGGTTAATCAAAAGGCCAAGAAACTCGCGGTTTAACCTAGGGAAAAGTCAATAGAGTTAATTATATGACCATAATAATATAAATATAACAAGGATATAAAAATAAATAAATATAATAAATATATATATTGATAATTAATTATGTAGGAATAATTTATCTTGATCATAGTAATAAGTTAAAAAGATGAACCACTGTTACTTCAGATTTTTATTTATCGGATATTTTGGAGTGGCAAGAGTATGGTCGGTTGTCAGTTGGGAGATGGCACTCCAAAACGAAAGCGAAATTGAAGTCTGCAACTCCTTTTTGAATCGCCATCGGCTTCGATCCAGTTGCCAAAACCTATTTTGATTTCCATCACGTCCATTCTCCCCTTTTTCTAACCCTCTCCACTCTCCTACTACTCCATTCTTGCATTTTTCAATGGCTGATAAATCAACCGTCATCGACTCCAATCTTCTTGTTGCCAAAGCCCTAGCACGCGCCGGCATCGACCGCATGTTCGGCGTCGTCGGCATACCTGTTACTTCCTTAGCCAACCGCGCCGTCGCCTTAGGAATCAGATTCATCGCTTTCCACAACGAGCAGTCGGCGGGGTACGCCGCATCAGCCTACGGATACCTTACTGGTCTTCCCGGCATCCTCCTCACCGTATCCGGTCCCGGATGTGTTCACGGCCTTGCGGGACTCTCCAACGCTGCCGTCAACGGCTGGCCCATGGTCATGATTTCTGGATCCTGCGATCAGAAGGATTTCGGTCGAGGTGATTTCCAGGAGCTCGATCAGATCGCTGCGGTAAAACCCTTTGTTAAATTTTCAGTTAAAGCAAAAGATATCAAGGAAATCCCCAATTCCGTTTTTAGTGTTATTGATCATGCTAGATCAGGTCGGCCTGGTGGGTGCTACTTAGATATCCCTTCCGATGTGCTTCACCAAACTGTTACTGAATCAGAAGCAAATAAGTTGCTCGATGATGCAGAGAGCAGTAGAAAGATAGAGTCAGTTAAGAGTGTATCAATTGATGAAATTGCTAAAGCCATATCTTTAATTAGGAAAGCTGAGAGACCCTTGATTGTGTTTGGTAAAGGGGCAGCCATAGCTAGGGCTGAGGGAGAACTCAAGGAGTTGGTTGAAAAGACTGGAATTCCATTCTTGCCAACTCCAATGGGTAAGGGTTTGTTGCCAGATTCCCATGAATTAGCAGCTACAGCTGCTCGTTCCCTTGCCATCGGTAAATGCGATGTTGCTATCATTGTTGGTGCTCGATTGAATTGGTTGTTGCACTTTGGAGAGCCTCCAAAGTGGTCCAAAGATGTTAAATTTATCTTGGTTGATATAGATGAAGGAGAGATTGAGCTTCGAAAGCCCTATTTAGGATTGGTTGGGGATGCAAAAAGGACTCTTAAAGTACTGAATAAGGAGATCAAAGACGACCCTTTTTGTTTGGGGCGGTCTCATCCTTGGGTTGAAGCCATAACCAATAAGACGAAGGAAAATGTGTTGAGGATGGAGGCTCAGTTAGCCAAAGATGTGGTGCCTTTTAATTTCTTGACCCCAATGAGGATCATCAGAGATGCAATAAGTGCGTTAGGTAGTCCTGCTCCTATATTGGTCTCAGAAGGGGCTAACACGATGGATGTTGGTCGGTCTGTTTTGGTTCAAATGGAGCCGAGGACCAGGTTAGATGCAGGGACATGGGGAACAATGGGAGTTGGTTTGGGTTACTGCATTGCTGCAGCCGTGGCTTCACCGGATCGGCTTGTGGTTGCTGTTGAAGGGGACTCTGGGTTCGGGTTCAGTGCCATGGAAGTCGAGGTTTGCTCTCTTTATTCCCTTTTATGTGCCATTCCCCATTGGTATAGAACCTTTATTGATATGGGTTCATATTTTTGCAGACTTTGGTTCGGTATCAGTTGGCTGTAGTGGTGATAGTATTCAACAATGGTGGTGTTTATGGTGGTGACCGAAGAAGCGCTGAAGACATCACGGGGCCTTTCAAAGACGATCCAGCGCCTACGTCATTTGTGCCTGGCGCAGCATACCATGTTCTAATCGAAGCTTTTGGTGGAAAAGGGTATCTTGTTGGGACTCCTGATGAGCTTAAATCGGCTCTCACTGAATCGTTCTCTGCACGAAAGCCTGCGGTGATAAATGTGACGATTGATCCATATGCGGGTGCTGAAAGTGGTCGGATGCAACACAAGAACTGAGTTATGTAAGTTCTCATATGCCATACATGTGGAAGAAGTAGGAATAAAAATTGAAATGAAGCACACACTTTGTAATGTTTTTTAGTTTGAAAATTTGAAAGGGAGCAGATTGTGATATTAGACAGAATATATATGTTGAAGAAGTGTGATTTGCCACTAATATGATCATTTATATCAAAGGAGTGTATTGTTTGCGCATATGCAAATGTACTTGAATTCTAATTTGCATTAAAGCAGCCCAATGTTTTCTCACAACACTTCCACATTGTAGGTTTCTAGAAACATGATATGTTAATGATGGACATAGGGACGAAGAATAACATAAACGATGAAATCAAGATGTGTCTCGATGCATTGTACGGGTACTCTTATTAATTCTTTCACATTTTCTTGCAGATACAAGATACATAAGAAATAAGTACAGACATGCCATTTCAACCCTCTATCGGAATTGTTTGTCTAAAATATTTGTTATTTTTCTTTTCTTAACAAAAGCAAATGAAATGTATGGGAGTAAAAATATAATTTTTAGAAACCATCAATTTTAAAATCAAAAATCCATTTTGGTGAGATCTTATTCTTATTTTAGAGATATGAGAGTACTTAAAATTCATGCACTCAATATTAGGTAATAAATAGTCAATAATGTATGAAAAAACAATAGTAATTTTAAAATCCTAAATATATATATAAGCTGAATCGTATCATATGATTGATAATTGTTTTTTTCAAAATTACAAGAAATTTATTATATTCTAATATAAAAATAGAATTCATGTGGAGGGAATAATCAAAAGAATTGGTGGGGAGATGAATGATGAAAAATATATCAATGTTTTCTGGTCAAGATAGTTTTTAGATTTTAATAGTAGACACATTTTTAGTATAAATAATGAGTATTATAAAAATAAACAACCAATTATTTTTTCACATATTTTCTTCTCCAATATAATTAATTAAACATGGTTGCACCCTTAATATAATTCTAAATTCTTTTTAAATTATATTAGAAACTAAAAAACTTGTGTCCCTTTTATTTATTAATATTTTTGAACTACTATTATATACTATAAATGAAAGAAAATTGGGCCTCTATTTCTTGTGGGCCTTGGTCGGCCCACCCTCCTCCGGGAACGCTTCCTAATGGTCCCGTCATCAGTTAACGAGGTTTGCAAAATCCATCCCCATTGATTCACTTTTTGATATGAGGGCGAAGGTAATTGCTACACTTTGGCTCTCGGTCACACACTTGGTTCCATCCTTACAGTCCCTCGTTCCGGTCTAAAGGTGAATCAGTGTAGAGGGGAGAAGACAAAGTAGAAGGAATGAGTGAGATCGAGAATGGAATACGGTTAAGATGGCGTTGGAGAGAGTGAATGTTGGGATTAGGTTTTTTATTTGGGAAAAGGTAAAAAGTGACTGTCAAAGACGAAACATATAACTTTCATGATACCACGTGGACGATTTCTATACTTTACTCCTTCGTAATTATAACTTAAATTTCCCTTTGTGTGTTTTGTTTTGCTTTTGTATATTTCTAAATGCATTCTTACGTATTAATTTTATTCTTATATATATATCAAAGACTTATGTTCCACATTTTAAATGTATGATTTGACCTGCCGATACAAAAAGACATGTATTAAAAACACATTAAAATTAGTTACGGTAGAAAGAAAAGGGTTTAAGCCCTAAAACGCTACATTCACGAATTAAAAAAAACCGAAAGTTCGAGAAAAAAAATGTTATTTTTATAAATATATTTGTACCCTTAGTTAGTGGTCTTCATCCCATGGGATCGATCAACTTATGGGTCGTTTGAGCATGATAAGTATCGAGAATCTAACCCGATAAGAGACATATCAAGAATTGAGAGTACTACCAGGTAAGTGAAGAAAAAAACTCTTGCCTGATAAGTCCTTATTGGGTTTAAGACACCAATAATCCATTTTGATGAAGGATAATGTTACACGATAATGTAGGTGAAGGTGATATTTATTGCTGGTAAACACTTACCTAATAAACGTTTAGTAAATGACCGCTTAGTACCCTTAGTTAGCGGTTTACGTACTTCTTACCATCCTCATCCTCTACCTTTTTCAGTGTAGTCGAAGTATCATGTGAGAAGAAGAGTTAAAGTGAGAATCATAAGAAAAGATCTGAACCATTGATCACCTTTAATTTCAAACCCATCCATGAATCGCGATTGATACGAGACTGATCCGGTGAATCACGGTGCATCTCATCATAATGTGCATCCAATGGTGAAGATCCGTTCTTACGCTTATGACCTTAACTCTTCTTCTCACTGGAACTTAACCCTCTGTAAAATATATTAAATGCTTAGATATGGTATTTATAAAAGAATTCAACTAATTTTAGTTTTCTGAAAATTATATATTTATCAAATACTCTTTGCTATATGTGTTTTTTTTATAATATGAACAGAAAACAAAAGCATAATGAATGTATTCAAGTAATGTTAAATTTCGATTATGTCGATATTTTTTTTATTAACCTGGATATTCAACCTGTTATGCGAGCCGACTAATCCCAGGACAACCACCTGTTTTACAGATAGTCCGAAGTCACCGCATTTGAACCTGCATCACCACAAGGGAATTTTTATTAACCTATTGTTAACAAGATGTCCCAATTTCAACTGCTTCTTCGGTGTTAATTGTTTAATTAAATTATATATCAAAAAAAACAAATTTGTTTGTTTTCAAGATTAAAATGGCATTTTATTTTTCAAAATTTGAAATAAAATATAATATAGTTCTAAAAATAAACTATATATTGAAATAAAATAAAACATTGTTTGTTTCATTTTCAAGATTAAGATGGCATTTTATGTCTCTTGTGGTTATTGAGGTTCAAATGCGGTGACTCCAGACTATCCGTAAAGCAGGTGGTCGTCATAGGGTTAGTCGGCTCACATAACGAATTGGATCTCCAGGTTAATCAGAAAAAATATACTATATATTTATAATAATATTATATACCTTTCTTTATGTCGGCAAAAGGGATAGATAAAACAAAACAACGTTTTAACTTTTTATACAAACCATTAGTCAATATAAAATATATCGATGTTAATATAATGACGTGAATTTTGTATAAGAAACTTAAAATGAAGGTAACGTAATCACCAAACATGAAACATAATCCGATATATACATGTATTACATGTTAAAGTTATAATTCAAATATTACTGCCTACAAAAATATTACATGTTTTCTTCTTCTTCATCTATCATTTACTTAGGAATGGACCTAGTAATTTTTATATATGGTGACACCATATAATACATATTACAAATAATTATAAAAAACACGGTTTTATCGACGTGTCTTCATGTTTTTACTAACGTTCAATACTGCTCGATGTGTTTTTAGCCTAATTCCACTGTTTCGAGGTATTTTAAAGTTTTTTACTTGTTCGAGGAATTTTTTAGTTTTTTTTATCGATTTCATGAGACTTTTCGGTTTTTTTGGTTGATTTCAAGAGTTCTTTTTTGGTTGATTACGAGGTACCTTCTTGAACTTTTGAATATCATATTACGATAACACCTTTTAAAATGATACGGTTGTACCTTTCATAACATAAATTTTTTAATCTTTTGGCACTTGACAAGAGAGATAATACGGTGGCACGTGCCACCGTATGCCCTTATATAGGTTCGTACATAATTTTACTTAAAACATATCAAAGGTAGACTTGTAATTAGTAACTATAAATTAATTATTCTAAACATAAAATAAAATATACAAGAATGTATCATAATTTTATAGGAGGTCAAGGGCCAAACTTCATATTTACCAAAAGTGAGAAGTGTGCGAGTATCTGTGGTTTATAAATGTTATTCCTTCTGTTCCAAATTAAGTGTTCATATTTCATTTTTAACTAAATGTATGTTTTCCTATTCTATCCATAATGATATGATAGATAAAATTTATCTTTCTATTATTAAAAATAAAAATATCATTTAGTACACTCATAAAATTATATATCATTTTCATTATTGATGGTTATTTTTAGAGTTGGGGAGTTTACTTAATAACTGTATTGAAATCCACAAAACAAACTCCATGAGTGAGTGAACCTGCCTTGTAATTTTGGTTTGGGTTGGATCATAAACCATAAGTCGGTCCGACATGATCTAGACACTCAACAACCAGAATATATGCCTTGAAAGGTAAAAAGTGCATGCAACCAACCTTTCATTTTCTGTTGATGATACAAATCAACCACACATTTTCATTCAACTATCCCATCCAAATATGTTCCAATCAATAATCTGCTTCACTACATGTTTGCACACAAAAAAGTTCATATATGTCACAATATGTGAAACCTCAGGGTTATTCTCCAAAAGGTATTTCAAGAAATAATGAATGTTCCAACATATGTAAAGGATAAATAATCCAAGTCTAGCATACATGAGATTCCAACAATCTGTTGTGCGCTAATTGAGAATCCCTCTATTTGAAGGTCTCGATAGGCACCTCAAAGCCAAAAACATCATGACAAGATTAACACATGAGACACTCTCAGCGATCACAACTAGTTCAAATTCATAATGGACAGAGCAGTAGACCAAAAACACAAAACAAACGGCAGAGACAACTAAATTGCCATATAATCACAAGTAATCAACTTATCAAAAATGTATCATATATAGTATATTTGAATGATGCCTTGATTAATTTGTCTGCAATTATGGTACGGGATTATGTTGCAAAACTTTCCAAATAAACACATCAAAAGAGGATTCAAACACGCTCAAGAGAAAAGAACTATTCTTGAGAAAAAGGTTTATTTAAGTACACTTGATAAGTAATGATCGCAAGCATATAAAGTGCCACTGGTTTATCAAATCAAAGCTTAAAACACTTTCAATCAGCTTAATTTTCGATTGATCGGGATCCCAAATCGATTACAAGAACCTAATCGAGAAATGTAGCATAACATCTCCTTAGTATGTAAAAATTGATACATAACAATAGCTATACTCTCGAGAATGAAATCTCTTAAAATGGTATAATCATTGATTAATAATCTTCAATTCTAGGGTATATACTTAATTACTCTACAGAAATACTTATTTTAGTGAAATTAAAAGATCATAGACGGACCTTTCATTTACATAACCTCATCCCCGTTCAATAATTCCAAATAATCAGCGTGGATTCACTGCCAGAAGCATCTCTTCTTCTGTGAGGGAATGACGAAAGTGACAACGATGACCATAAGGGCAGATGTCACCCGCGAGCACCATACGACACACCTCAGTTTTGTAGCGAGGGTGCCTTATCACCGGTCGCAGCTCACTTATTCCGTGTGCAAAGTGACAATTGTCTCCATAAGGACAGGTTCCAGTCTCCTGCCACTTGTTGCACAGCTCAGTCTTTGACATTCCCTGGTTGTATACCTCGAACTCCAATCCCTCTCCAGATTTCTTCTCCCCAGGTACACGTACACGTTGCTGTGTCAAACCACAATTATAACAGCTTGTATCGTTAGGTAAGGTTAGAAAAAACACTCCTCACTTTTGAACAAACATACATGAACTGGAATTTAAGGTCAAATGTACAGAAAACATTGATCCTTATTTTGTGATAACTTCAGAAAATTTGTCATGAATTGTAGTTTAGTATACGTGTTTCATAATTTGAAATCAGATTTTGGGTTGAAAACTACTCCTGAAAAGTGAAATTGTTTCGAAGAGATGAAGTAATGGATATGTATGATATCTGATTCTTTTGGAGCCAGAGTGATGCCGATGTGTTTGAATCACTCGTTCTCTACAAGTGAATGATGAGCATCTGACCTAATTCTCGCATTTTACACAGCCACTCACCGATTGACCTAACAAAGCAGTTGTTGCTTGTTGGCGACTCGGTCGTTGAGAAGAAACAGATTTCAGATAACCTCTGGAACGAACTGAAATGCTTTTGGGCATTGAAACTCGCTCGCCATTATGCCTCGCGAACTGTTTTGGTTCGATCACGCTAGTCGGGCTGACGCTAGGAACTTTTTCAACAGAGGCATTACTTTCGCAAAACCCGGCTCCGATGCCAAGACGGTTGAAGTCTCCTACTAAAGTAGACGAAGGAGACGGAGATGGACGCACAGAGGAGACAAGGCAGTTCTGCATCGAAGCCTGCGAGAACAGGTTCAATCTCTGCAGCAAATCGTTGTTTGCAAGGCGGAGAGCCTCGTTCTCTTGACGAAGAGCGTCAACCTCTTTAACAGAGTCCTGGAGGCTGGCG